TTGGCTGAGTTCTTTATCTCTTCATTTGATGTTTTAGGGTTTCAGGATTGTTGTATTCTCTGTTCGGCTTAGTTTTCGAATCTTTGCTGTGGAGGCACGGCGTGGTGCTTCTGCTTAGAGCGGATTTTGCCAGAACTCTCCCAGGAGCAAATATTTTTTGTTTCATTTAAGCTTTAGGCGTTCTTCATAATAATAGTGAAAATCAAACAACTACCTTCACTTGCGTAAATTTGTCATTTGATCAAATGTTTCATTTTTTTTCACTAGTTGTGACAGTATTATACATTGCTTTACAAAAAGTATTTTCCCTCTCATTTACGTATTTGAATGGCTACCAGGAATGGCTCCTGATCATTAGGGTGTCCCTTCCTCCACTGTGGCCACAATTTTACATCTCTGCTTTCTTTCCTAGCTTCCTGCACAGGCTGGTATCTGAGATGGGCTCTTGGCCTCTTCCACTTCTATCCTTCTCCTCCTCCCCATCTACTTTGTCCCCTGCTGGCCCCAGGACCAGTCCAGGTGGGTTAATATGGTGCCTAAATAGCTGTAAGGAGATGAAGAAGAGAGGCAGGGAAGAGATCCACAGCCGTTTCTTTGGCTACTCCTTCTTTGGGCCTGGCTTCTGAATTATTCCCAGGGTTTCCCAAGACCCCTTCACCCCAGAGCTCTCCCTCTCTTCACCTTGGGCCTCCAAGACTGCCCATTCAATTCAATGGACATTTAATTCCGCGAACACTTTTTACTTCAATTCAGCAAACCTCTCCTCCTAGCTTCCTACAAGCCACTGCTGTTTACTTACTGAATCAGAAGAGCCCACCGATCAAGCCCCAGGATCAACACAGAAATTCCCAGAAGCTTTAGACTGGGTTTTCTCTGAAGAGTAGATAAATCTCATTTCATCCTTTGTATACAAAGATGCAGGCACTGTAAGTACCTCCTTGCACAGAGTAGGGAGAGGAGAAAGGTGGGGGACTAGATGAGTGTTCTGCTCCCCCATTCTTTCTCCAGAAAGACCTCATTCTGGTCAGGGCTCAGACGTGACCTCCTCAGAGAGGCCTTCCCTGGCCACCCCGTCTACGTTAGCTTCCGCTTCTGCCATTCTTCATCACATTGCCTTGAGTTTTCTTCACAGCACTTGTTACTAGCTGACATTTTCTTGTTCGTTATTTACGTGTTTGCTTCTACTTCATGCTCTGTCAGAGCAGGGATACTGTCCTGCTTACAGTAGTATCCTTGGCGCCGGCCCACGGCAAGTGCTGAGGGTAATATCTGTTGGATGAACTAATAAGCTCTTCTTGAAAGTCTGACGGAGTCGTTGAATCCTTAAGTTTTACTTCACTGCATTTAATGGTGGGAAATTACTTTCCATAATGGTAGAGCACTTGGAGACTTGTAAGTGTCTCAGGGTGTATCCCTCATAAAGAGCAAAGCTCAACTTTATTCTTTTAGAATATGTGTAGGTTAAATAGTTGTTTCTGGATTGGCCTAGAGTCCTAAATAATTCACTGCCACAGAACCCTGTTTCTGTGCGAAATTTCATTTCACGTTCTAAAGAAATACCACCCATAAGATGGGAACGGTTTATAATCATAAAGAGGTTTACAGTGTGGTGAAAATTAACCAATATTGTCCTACAGCTGACGGAGGCAGCAGTCCTTGCGGGACTTTTTGGTAACGAGCCTGTGAAGAGACACTGCCACCTAGTGGTGCTTTGTATCGGCACAAGCACTTCTTTCACGGGAAGAAGTAACGCTGCATTTCTAGCTATTATGCTTATTATTTCACGTGTTCGGTACTTGTCTAAGCTAATAAAAAGAATGTAAAATTGTAAAAAATTCTGGATGTTACTGTTCAAAACCACTTAAATATAATTTAAATAAAAATCAACTCTTCTTACCACCAGAATATTGATAAAATAAGCCACCTCAGCGCCGACAACGCGGAGATTGTTTACAGCGTGGATGTATTCCAGTGAACCTTTAATCCAATCTAAATTAATGCAGTTCACATCTTCCACTTGTAGCAACACCTGGAATAAAGATTTATAGTATCAGATAGTATAGATTAACTATTAAAGAAATAACTATTTTTTAAAAAGTATCTAAACAACTGATTGCATAATAAGAAACAACCCTAGCTGGTATTTATTAAGATTTTACTACGTTAGGCAGTGTTCGAACCTTTTTATCTGTGTTAACTTACTTTATCCTCACAACCACTGTATGAAACGTGTACTACTGTTACCTTCAATTTACAGATAAAGAAATTGAGGCACAGACAGATTCAGTAACTTGCCCCAGATCACAGAGCTAGTAAGTAGGAGCACCAGGACATGAATTCAGACAGCCGACTCCATTCCATACATGGTCTTATGAATAATTAATTGCTTACTATGTTTCCCATCCATTAATCTTGAGTATAAGAGAGGAAAGTTAATTACATGGCGTGAACTTGGAAACTTTTTTTCCTTAAATTAAATGAGAAATTGAGCATACTATTTAATCCTTTGTCAGAGGTAAGAATTCACCAAAATTGATAATAAAAAGCTGCTCCCATTAGAATCTATTCAATTCAAAAATAAGTGGAAATAAATGGAAAATGTGTGATTCATTTGAGGCCTGGGATCATGGACAATACGGATAACTGAATGGAAGATGCCTGTGTTAAACATAAAGCTCTCATACTAGTGTAAAGAAGACACTGTTCACATCATACATTGCACATGTCTCTCTGCCATTTGCCATCTGTTTTCCATCCAGGTACGTTGATACAAGTCATCTTGTTTGTTCCGAAATAGGAGTCTTGGATAGTTGAATAATTAACTGCACTGATCTCCTGTTTCAAGTGAAAAGAGATTAAAATAAAATGATGATTTAAATCATTTAATCTTTAGTAAAATTATTCTAAAGCTGCTCAAAAGTCTTTCACTAAATTTGATTTTGTAACAATCTCCTTTATTACATTTCAGTCAAAAAGTTACTGCTACATATTGCAAAAAGTACCAACAAATTATTAATGTATTATAAAATGCAATATACAAATTAAATCATGAGGAAAGGAAATAAGAAGCCCTTGGTTCTAAGGCAATGTTTATAAGTCATTGTTGGGTAAGTTTAGATCAGGAATTGAGTACACCTTACTTAGCACTTCTCAGTTGTCAATGTAATTCATGGGAATTATCTTATTTGAAGCTTAGAAATATCCTGCAAAGGTGGCAAAATAGGATTGTTCACCCACATTATGAATGAGGAATAGAGATTAGAATCTCATCACATGAATTAAACAGCATGTTGTTGTGTATGTCAAGTCCATTCTTTTTTGTAGCGACCCTATAGTACAGAGTAGAACTGCCCTACAGAGTTTCCAAGGCTGTAATCTTTATGAAGCAGACTGTCACATCTTTCACCCATGGAGCTGCTGGTGGGTTCAAATCACTGACTTTTGGTTAGCAGCCAAGTGATTAACCACTGCACCACCAGGGCTCCTTCAAAACAGCATATTAAAGATAAATTTTTACGCATGTTAAACATTCTTTTGTATTTCTTATATTTTGTTGGTTTGTTTTAATAACCAAACTCTCAAAAACTTTAGAATACTATAAATTTAAGTGGTTTTGTTATTAACAGAAAAATTGAAAGGCACAATTATAGGCAATTCTATTGAAAAAATGAATACTGTAATCAGCAAATAGCAAGATTTCAATGGTGAATCCCATAACTGGAGAAGCAACACATTTAAATACTTACGAGATTCAGAGAAAGAGTCTATTACTACCTGTGTTTAATAGTAATATGCAATTAATCATAAAATGTGCTGGTTAAAGTGTTTCCAAGACTGTAAGGAAAAGATTACGAGAGTCTTAAGGTGGTTTACACAGTAACTGTAATAGCTAACACTCCTATCTGTCCGTGTGCTGGGTGTTGTTCTGAGCACTTTATAGAGTAGCTTGTTTAACCCTCAAAACACTCAGAAGTAGGGACTATCACCATCATACCATTTTACAAATTAGGAAGGGGTGACACTTAGAGGTCAAGTTGCCCTAAAGTACTGCAGCTAATGGGTCCTAGAATCGGGGTTCAAACCCACATGGTCTGTCTCTGAAGTGTCTAACCACTGGGCTCTCAAGTTGTATTCCGACCGTAGTGTTCTCTACTGATAGGATCCAAACTGGATGTGGCATTCGTTGACGCAGGGAGTAAAATCAATTATATTCAGGCTTTCTAGGAAACCCTTCTGTGCTAAATAATGCAATCCAAGTGCAAAGATTTCCATCTAATATATCTAAAATAATCCAGATGCAAATACAAACATTCCCAGCTCCTTCAAATAACTACTGCATTTCTGTTTCTACGTCAGCAAAGCCTATTTTGGAGAGGGAATTTAGTAGAAAACATTTGTTTATGCTTTCCCTAACATAAGACTAGTCTGAAGAAGTGTGACCTCATTCAGACCTCAAAGTGGCAATGTGTTGTGGGATCCTAACGTCTTAGTCATCTAGGGCTGCTATAGCAGAAATACCACAAGTGGATGGCTTCAACAAACAGAAGTTTACTCTCTTGTAGTCTAGTAGGACAGAAATCCAAATTCAGGGCATCAGCTTCAGGTGAAGGCTTTCTCTCTCTGTCTTCTCTGGAGGAAGGTCCTTGTCATCAATCTTCCCACGGACTAGGGTTTCTCAGTGCAGGAACCCCAGGTCCAAAGGACACGCTCTGCTCCTGGCACTGCTTTCTTGATGGCATGAGGTCCCCCTGTCTCTCTGCTTGCTTCCCTCTTTTATATCTCAAAAGAGATTGGTTTAAGACACAACCTAATGTTGGAGATTGAGTCCTGCCTCATTAACATAACTGCCGCTAATCCCATCTCATTAACATCATAGAGATAGGATTTACAACACATAGGAAAATCACATCAGATGACAAAATGGTAGGCAATCTCACAATACTGGGAATCATGGCCTAGCCAAGTTTACACACAGTTTTGGGGGACATGATTCAATCCAAATCACCTAACATCCTCTGTTGTCAGAACTGAACAAAACAGAAAAGATAGAAAAAACTTTGTTCACCTCACATTCAACCTGGCACACCCCTCTAAAAGAGCATACTAACATAGAAAACTGGAAACTCCATTCAACATCCTGGAATCAAATTCTGCTGCCACAAAATAGAAACTAAAAATGGTGTCAATATTATTCAGAACAGGTTATTGAGAGACAGGACTAAAAGCATCAAGGTTAGCTGAGTGCTCAGGCCTTTTCTCTTGACTGAGTAGACATGGAGTCTAACTGGTGCTAAAGAACCCCATTCTACAAGTGTTCACTGCATTCCAGGTGATCTCATTTTTAGTAGGTCAGAAATAGTCACCAGTTAGGCATGCTCCAGCTCTAACTAGAGCTGCAGACGCAGAAATTGCCGAAAGTATGCAAATATGCATCACCACCAGTAACTGTATGAGCCACTCAGTTAAGGAGTCATGGGCTCACGGGAAAGTGGGTGGTTCCATTCCTGCTGTGAAGGTAGCTGTGAAGACCTATGGCTCTCAGAAGTCTGAGTTTATTGCACCATATTCACCTTTGACAATTCCTCCCTCAGAGAAGAGAGTATGCCAAACCGTTTTATAAAGACTCATGAACACAGACAGTCAAATTTATGGGTCAGGGCTGGGACAATCCTTGTTTTAAGAATCACACTTTGACCTAGCTTTATATTCTAGCTTTAAAACAAAACAAAAATAAAAACAAATAAAAAAAAATTTTAACAGCAAACTATCAGTGCAAGATTCAGGTACAGGACTGGTTTTTAGTCACACAATGATTTCATCCAAATGGAGGCTGTTGAGAAGACCTGGTGGTACAGTGGTTAAGCGTTCGGCTACTAACCAAAAGGTCGGCAGCTCGAATCCACCAGCTGCTCCTTGGAGACCCTATGGAGGCAGTTCTACTTTGCCCTGTAGGGGTGCTATGAGTCAGAATCGACTCGACAGCATCAGGTTTGTTTCGTTTTTTTTTTTTTTTTTTTTTGTTGCGAGGGAGTAGACCTGAAGAACATTGTTTTTATGGTCTCTTTATCCGGGAAGTACTGGGTTTTCCAATTTTCTCTTCATTGGCTTAGAGATTTATGACACCTCACCTAATGACTCATCTTTATCAACTTACCGACTGACTTACTTTCACTGTGTTCCACAAAAGATTCAAGTGCATGACCACATATACAAAAAGATGAAAGGATCAATGAGACCTATGTGTACTGAGGGTCATGACCAGGGGACACAGCCCTGAATGTACAGATGTGCCCTGAGAGTCCTAAATGGACAGAGAAGATGCCTCAAAACATTTGAATTCAGCATAGATTCTCTCTACTTTTGGACAGTTATAAAAATCAAACTTTTAATGATAGTTTTTTTTATAAGTTACTCTAAACCCAAAACAGGAGCCCTGGTCGCACAGTGGTTAAGAGCTCAGCTGCTAACCAAAATGTCAGCAGTTCGAATCCACCAGCCACTCCTTGGAAACCCTATTGGGCAATTCTACTCTGCCCTAAACAGTCACTGTTAGTCAGAATCAACTCAACGGCAAGGTTTTGGTTTGATTTTGGTTTAAACCCAAAACAAGAAATTTTCTTCTTTGTTCTGGATACAGCCAGTTCTATAGAACAGGTAGTATATTTCAGTAAAGAGTTGTGTGTGGAGTTGTGTGTGTGTGTGTGTCTGATAAGCAGACAGCTACAATTCAGATTATATTTGTATGGTTGTACGATGCAAAGCCATAGCAGAAGGTTGTCTTTCCTGGTGAGGCCTACCCTGTGTGTGATGGGTCAGGCAGAAAGCAAGCCTTGAGGTTACAGATGCAAGTAAAGACGAAATGATCTCACGTGGGGGAGAGCTCCTTCTCAGGCCCTTTTCCCTCCTGTTCCCTAAATGTAGGTGCTCCACCTGGGCCTACCACTTGTCTCCACCACTTGTCTGTCAGTTTGTTGTACCGTGGTGGCTTGAGTGTTGCTGTGAAGCTAGAAGCTATGCCACCAGTATTTCAAATACCAGCAAGGTCACCCATGGTGGACAGGTTTCAGCAGAGCTTCCAGGCTAAGACAGACTAGGGAGAAGGACCTGGTGATCTACTTCTAAAAAAACTGACCAGTGAAACCCTGTGAATAGCAGCAGAACATTGTCTAGCACAGTACTGGAAAATGAGCCCCTCAGGTTGAATTGTGAGGATGCCGCAGGACCGGGCAGTTTTCGTTCTGTTGTACATAGGGCTGCTATGAGTTGTAACTAACTCAACAACACCTAACACCTGGGTCTAGTCTCACTTTGTCCTCGGCCCCTGGGATCTCATACACTCTCTGGGTTTCCACTCTCACTTCCAGGTAAAAGACTTCTGATTCTCTTTCTCCAGATCTAGATTGAACACTAAGGTGTAAGATGAAAATTTTCAAAAGCCTGCCCAAACTTAATTTGTTCAAACTTTTAACTCATTCTCTTTCACCCAGCATCTGCTCTTCTTTCTGATAAGAAGGTCATTGTTTTCCCAATCATTAATAAACTTGGGACAGTTTACGATGTTTATCATGCAAATTTTATATCTTCATACTCACTCTCTTTACTCTAGTTTAGGCTAGCTTCCCATGTCTAATCTAAACTGTGCTATAGTTCTATTCAGTGTTGTTAAATAGAACTTTCAGCGATGATAGAAATATTCTATACTTGTACTGACTAATATAGCAGCCACTCTAGCTCCATGTGGCTATTGAGCACGTAAAATGTGGTCAGTGTGACTGAAAAACTGAGCTTTTAATTTTATTTCATTTGAAATTTTATAGCCACGTGTGGTAGTGGCTACCATACGACAGTTTGGCTCTAAATCATCTCCTGGTCACCTCCAGTCTCTCCCAGCTCCAGACAGAAGATGCACTGCTGACAGTCAACGTTCTAAAGCACCTTTTCAAAACCCTCAATGGGGATGCATGGCTCACAGGACCAAGTCCAAACTCCACAGGAAGGAATTATACAATTGGTCCCTGAACTATTTTTCTAACTAACTTTGCTTTTGAGGTCTCCCTTTCTGTACCCAGCCTAACCCAGCATGTCATTCATCAAACATTCCCTGCAGTTTCTCTCCTTGGTGTATTTATTCGTGCCATCCCCTTTGTCCCAACAGCCCCCATTTATCTCTACTTATAAAGATCCCATCCATACTTCAAAGCACCCCTCAAATATGATGTCCTCCTCAAAGCCTTTGCTGATTCCTATCCCTATTCCCAAGGTGAAGGTAAGCTCTTTGTTCCAGAGTCTCTTATTCATATCTTACATCATAGATCATAATTTGTGTTGCAGGGATTTTTTTATATACCCCATTTCCCCTAATATAATGTCTTGATCAATTCAATTCAATGTAATAGGTAGGCACTGTTGCTTGTTCACAGTTTTATGTGTGGAAGGTTCTCAATTAATACATTTATTTGAACTTAATATCAAACTTCCCTTATATAAAACAACATATATCTTCATACTTAAATACTAGAACAAATAATATGGGAATCTGGTTCACAATACTAAAAAGAAATATTTGCCTTTAAATCAACAGCCTATGCCAGAATAGGTTACTGTATCTACATATCTAAACCTTCTTTATCTATATATACATCTTATATTTTAGAATAATCTACATGTGAAGGAAGCAAGTTAGCTTACCTGGTGGACATTGCGATTATGTATAGTATAGAGCAGAAAGCGAGTGTTTATCTCCTCTGGAGACCAGGGTAAACTTGTCAGATGTCTTGACAAAATCCACGTCCATGGTAAATCATCTTTAAAACATCCCACCCTTTCATAGCAAACTTCTTTTCCTGCAGCAAAAAAGATGGAGTATCAATATTATAAGAAAGAAGCCCGGAGAGAGGTTGTGTTTCATACTGTGAGAGTTAATTTAAATTAGTATTTAAGTTAAACACAGTCTGACCCACAGAGATTCTCATCAAAACCTCCTCTTCTCTCTTCCCCCCCTCCATCCCAACACACACAGTATGACTCTGTAGATGTCACAGATGAGAGTGTATGGACTTTGGAATCAGACAGTCTTGTCTTTGGGCAATTATTTTACCTTCTTGAGTCTCAATTTCCTCCTCTACAAAATGAGAGTATACCACTTACCTTATAGTCTTGTCACGAAGACTAACTGAGCTATTACACAACAAAGCCCTTGTAATAGGCCTGAGACATAAGGTGGGATTGTGCTTTCCCTGAGCTTCTGCCTTTTCTCATTTGACTGAAAGCTCTTGATGAAAGGGATCTGTGTTCCCAGAGCCCAGCCCCATGCCTGGAACACAGTCAGAGTCCCATACGTATATGTTTCGAGAGTGAAAGTGTAAATGAGAGCAAAACTTCATTAATTTTAACCAAGTGTCTTCTTCCTGGAGCTCAGTTTACTAATCTCTAAAATGAGAGGCTTTGGGGAAATTTGGTCTTGGACTCCGATTTATTCTTTTACTATGACCTTTCATTTTCATTGAACACCCAGAGAAGAATTAAAACACAAAAAATAACTTCATTTTATGCTCTTTTATGGAGGGATAGTTGAATTTATTCAATTAAATATTTAGGATTATTTGTTAGTATTGGTTAGAGTTGTTTGAGGACTTGTGTTTGAGTATTTTAACACTCACCAAAAATACTAAATAAGTCTCTGAGTCTCCAATCCACCATATTTTAGCTTTGAAATTTTAGGCGATTTTATAGTTTCTTCACTCCCGAAGAATGAGATTCACATCAATAAAGAGAGAAGATAGGGGATTAAAATGATTTTTTTTTAATAAAAAAAATGTACAGATGAACAAATACCTTGCCCACTCCCAATGAGAATCTCTCTCCCCAGAGGAAACTACTTTTAAACATGTCTGCAGCTCTTCTATGGAAGAAAGATGCAGCAATCTGCTCCTGTGAAGATTATGCCTTGGAAATCCTCTGAGGCAGTTCTCCTCTGTCCTATAGGGTTGCTAACAGTTGCAATTGACTTGATGGCAGTGGGTAGTAGTAGGAGCAGCTCTTTCGGTGGTTGCCTCCATATCTATATATAATGTGCTTATAAAAAACCCCAAACCCACTGCTGTCTAGTCAATTCTGATTCATAGTAACCCTATAAGACAGAGCAGAACTGCCCCATAGGGTTTCCAAGGCTGTGATCTTTATGGAAGTAGACTGCCACAGCTTTCTTCCAATGAGTGGCTGGTGAGTTCGAACAGGTGACCTTTCAGTTAGCAGCCTAGCGTTAATCTGCTGTGCCACCAGGGCTCCTTCAATGTGCTTATAATACCAGTATTTTTATTTATCAACTTCAGGCATACATGATCAATGAACTTTCAGCAGTAATAAATGAGAAGTTGACTCTCTTATCCCCTGTATCAACCAGGGTCCAGTCAAGAAACAGAAGCTACAACAGTTATTTTACTTTAAGAATTGCTAATTAGGAACTGGAGAGCTGAAGAGACAAAAGGAGACACTGCCGTAGAAAATTTCAAATGCTCCTTTAAAGAATTCTTATGTCAGAGAGCAAATAAAACACTTCAAATGCAGAATATATTAAAATATGATAGGGAAAACACAGCTCAAAATCTCTAAAATAAAACTAACAGTATATTCATTGAAAAAGGTATAGCTTTAAACACTCACATTCCTAAACTAGAAATGACAAAAAATAGTGAATTAATAGTTCAACTCAAGAAAGAAGAAAAAGAACAAGTAAAGTTGAAGAGAGAATTTAATTAGCAAAAACAAAAATAAAAGCAGAAAATAATGAATTAGAGAAACGAAAAAAATAGAATTGATAAATCTATGTGGTAGTTGTTTAATAAAACTAGAAAGATAATAACTGTGATGGCACATTTAAATAAATAAAGGGGAAGAGCCAAAGATGTGGAGGAAATAAAAATGTTTATATTTTACACAAATTCATGGGAAGAGAATGGAAATTCCAGATGAAAATCTCACTCCTTACACCTAGATAAATCTCAGATACATGAATATTTAACAGTAAAAACAAAACAATAAAATCATGAAAGGAAAACAGTAAAATTGTTAACACTCTTGGAATGGGGGATGGTTTTTCTAAACAACACAAAAACCCAAAAGCCATAAAGAAAAAGATGGATAATTTTGATTTCATAAAATGCTAAACTTCTACTTGACAAAAAGTAAAATAAATACAACAAAAATGTAAACAACAAACTCGAATAGATTTGTCAAATATCAGACTGAAAAAGAGCAAATTCCTATTCCAGGTTTTTACAAATAAGTAAGAAAAACAGCAAACGTTAGAGAAATGTACACAAGACATGAAGATTTCATCCACAGAAGATTCACAAACGGCCAGAAGCATTCAAGAGAATATTTAAACTTCCCGCTAATTAAAGAAATGCAAATTAAAATAACAAAAAGTAACTCAAAATGGATCGAAGACCTAAATATAAAATCAAAAATGATGAAGATCATGGAAGAAAAAATAGGGAAAACGCTAAGCGCCCTAATACATGGCATAAACACAATACGAACCGTAAGTAACAATGCACAAGCACCAGAAGAGAGACTGGATAACAGGGAGCTCCTAAAAATCAGACACTTATGCTCATCCAAAGACTTCACCAAAAGAGTCAAAAGACAACCCATAGACTGGGAAAAAATTTTTGCCTACGACAAAGCCGATCAGCGTCTAATCTCTAAAATCTACAACATACTGCAAAACCTTAACAACAAAAAGACAAATAACCCAGTTAAAAAATGGGCAAAGGATATGAACAGGCACTTCGCCAAAGAAGACATTCAGGCGGCTAACAGATACATGAAGAAATGCTCACAATCATTGGCCATTAGAGAAATGCAAATCAAAACTACAATGAGATACTATCTCACCCCAACAAGGCTAAGCATTAATCCAAAAAACACAAAATAATAAATGTTGGAGAGGTTGTGGAGAGACTGGAACACTTATACA